TCCTCCAGTCACCGCTCTCTGCAGGGAGATGATCGAGAAGTGAGCGAGCGCTGGTATGTGTTCGCTCCCTCACTTCCCGATCTATTGATTCGAAGTGTGACGGTTTCATTGTCACACGTCGGCTCGAACTATGAGGATGAGTGATTTTCACTCACCTCATAGATCTCCTTTAATGCTGAATTTCTCCATCCATGCTAAATAGCATTCCCCGCACCTCCCACTTGGCTATTGGCTGGTGTGCCGCTGTCAGATCACCCAAACAGTGGCTGCAGTCACAGATTGGACCGGCTTCTGCGACAAAAGTCGTATGAACAATTAAACAGAAGGGTTGCGAATGGGACTACGGCCAGCTTCAGGCTGGAGTTCCCCTGTAACATTATATTCTCCGGACCTGGAAGGCAACTCAGGAACCGCGGCGACCTCTTGTTATTTACAGAAACAGTTTTAGGCGTTCGTTTCCTTAATGGCGAATACTAATTCACTGCAGCAATTACTGATCAGTTTCTATTAGCATAAGAACCCTTAAGCTGAAACACCTGATTACCGTTATTCCTCAATCCAATTTACATAAATTTAACCCGCCGTCACTTGAATTCTACATTACGAGGAGCAGTAACCCATAGCAACCGGGGATCGCCTTTACGCGCGGTAACATCACTGAAGTCAGGTTGCCAAGAGTTACCACCTGCCAGTGTTTTTCACTCTGTTTTATTAAATAAGCCCGTTGTGGGTATTTAACACTGACACCAGCAGTGCAGAACTCATTACACAATAATAAATGTTAATAATAAAGCAGAAATCAGACGGAACGCAGTAATTGCTCACTATAAATACATATATTTTATGGCTATTGCAAATTTACATAATTATAGTGAGTGATTCCCATTAATGGCAATGTGATCTGCTGGGTAATGTCTGCCACTATTTACAAGGAATAAAATGGCCACAAGAAACATGCTGCTGAACTGTAAATGGCTCGTACATATAACACTTTGACTGTGCAATTTAAAGAGGACCTGTCATTTTTTTTCTTCTTCAAGTTCCTCTCCACTTAATGTCTGAATGCCAGCCACGCTGATTAGGTATATGCATATGCATCCTATCATAAAAACCTGAACAATGGCTGAAATAAACAAGCGTTTTTGAAGTTTGATTAGTAAGTTATTTTAAAGCATATCTAAAAGAACCCCAATGTAACCCCAGTCCTTAGAAGTCCTTAGATGCGGCGGCTGCATTGGTTTTTCTTTTTTTAGGTTTTTCACCTGGTGATCCTGCCAGTAACACCTATGTATGGAGGAGCAGCCTTGTCATCCTAGGTGAGGAATACAGAACACCTTCTACTCTCCTCATATCTATTACCTAGGTGGGAGTGTTCTGGTTTACATACAGGTGAAACTCGAATAATTAGAATATTGTGCAAAGTTCATTTATTTCACTAATGCAACTTAAAAGGTGAAACTAATATATGAGATAGACTCATTACATGCAAAGCAAGATAATTCAAGCCGTAATTTGTCATAATTGTGATGATTATGGCTTACAGCTCATGAAAACCCCAAGAACCCCAAATCCACAACCTCAAAAAAGTAGATTATTACATGCAATCAATAAAACAAGGATTGTACATAGAACAATATCGGACCTCTGAAAAGTACAAGCATGCATATGTACTCAGTACTTGGTTTGAGCCCCTTTTGCAGCACTTACTGCAATTACTTTTGCACAATATTCTAATTATTCGAGTTTCACCTGTAAGTAACCTTGGCAGGGCTAATAGGACTCCTTGGGATTCCAGTTCAGTAGGGGCACTGTGTTTTTTCAGCTCACTGAATGTTTGACAGGATCAACAGGTATTTTTTCCACTTTTTCAACAGTTATAACAAAATACGTTCAACTGAATATTTATGATAAACGCACTCACAAATAAGGGGTATAGTCAGGCATTACCCAAGCTGATTCTCAACATCCCC